ACGTGCCATCTGGGCTGCTCAAGAGGGCGGGACTGTCCTCGAGTTCCTGCCCTGAATGTCAAAGCTGAGGTGCACATGGACCTTTTCTCCACGGTGCCATGGGGCTCGATTCCGTCATATCACAGGGCAGGACTGTGCTACAACTTTCCCGCCAGCTGTGTATGCGAATTGCACGCGTCATCTGGGCTTCCCAAAAGGGCTGGACTGCTCCTTATTTTCTATCCTGAATGTCACAGCTCAGGTGCACATGGTATGATAAAGGCAGGAGCCCATTTACTCGCCTATGCACTCAGTCACTCACATGGCCGGCATGAAGTGCCGACGCCGGACAATGCCGCCAAGGAGGTAGTCGCCGTCCCGCTGCACTCGGCTCAGCGCCACGTACCCTGCCGCTTTCATGAAGGGGACATCCAGCCAGATGGTTATATGGTCCAGCTCCGCGCCTTGCATCTTATGGATCGTGCTTGCATACCCGGCACGCACCGGGTAGGCGGTGACGTACCCGCAGTCCGTGATCCAGTCCGTGATGGGGTAGACGGCGAGGTTGCAGCCGGTCTTTGTGAGAATGTGAAGGCAGCCGGACGTTGGGGCGAAGCTCAGAACGGTACATTCCATGCCGTTGATGAAGTCGGAGCCCTTGTCAACATTGCGCGTAATGTGCACTCTCATGCCCCTGTACACTTTCATGGACATGGGCACCGGCGGCTTGCCCGTGATGACTTTGTTGTCCTCGTCGAAGTTCTCGGCATTGGACTCCCAGTCAACGAAAAGGTCCGCCAGCTGCCGCCTCTTCTTCGTTGTGAACAAGACCCAGATGGAGAGGTCGTTCACCAGCGCAGCGGCCCGCCGCGTGCAGGTAGCGATGGTCGTGTGAGGTACCTTGCGGTACAGCTCCTGCAAGTCCCAGGCCGTCGGCTCCTTGTGGCCGGACCAGGCTTTGTGGCGGAGGGCAATCCTCTTCAGGAGCTTCTTGTCAGGCATGGCCGTTCTCAAGGCAACCAGCTTCGCCCGCAATGTCTCATCCTTGCATCGCCGCATCTCGTGGAGCTTGACCTGGTGCACGCCGCGCCACTTCGGGCTGTCGGTGGCACGTGTGGGCTGCACGCCAGGGAGTTGCCAGAAGTCGCCCGCGAAGACCAAGACGGGCAGCTTGTCGGCGGCCTCCCACATCTGAACGATGCGCTCGAAGTCGTCCTTGGACAGCTGGGAGACTTCGTCCACGGCAATCATGTCATACTGCGTGAGGCAATCCATGACCTCCACGGCGTCCTTATACAGGAAGAAGGCGCCGGAGCAGGTGTCCACGTCCGCCTGCGGGTGCTTGGCCCTTACCCTAAACGCCTGCTGGGCCGTCGGCAGAGCGATCAGAACCCGACCTCCGTGGCTAAGGCACTTGCGAACGCACTTATCGATCACAGTGGTCTTGCCAGTGCCTGGCGGTCCCGTCACGGCTTGGGGTCGGCTGTGAGTTTTGGCCTCCTCCATGAGGCGCTGCCATTCTTCCAGGCTTGCCGCCGTCCTGGCTGCCTTGGCCCTATCTAGCAACTTGCAGAGGCCCTGCTCCAACCTCTGCTGGGCCTCGTTGAACCGCACATCTCTGAACATCGGGTCCTCTTCGCCAGCCAGCAGCCCGACCTCGCGCACGGACTTCTGCGCTCCCGCATCGTCCTCCTTCGCAAGACTGCCACTGAGGAACCGATCAACCAGAGTCCGCTGCGCTCTTATTAACTTCGCTAGGAACGTTTCGATCTTGTCGGAACCCATGGCCTCCAGCTCCAAGTCTGCGCGGATCTCGTCGTCATCGCTCCAATACTCCGGGCACTGCAGCACTGCGTTGGCAAAGTGGTGGAACTGCACGGGGACCTTCTTTTGGACGTTGGAGAGTACCAGGTCGGCCAAGTCGCGGAAAGGCTTGCGCAGCGCCAGCCACTGCCCAAACCATCGGTCGTTGAAGATGGACAGCATGTCGCAGGCCATCAGCTTCTCACCGGGCATGGGGCAGGTGTTGGCAAAGGCACGTAGGTTTCGACTTCTGGTCTCCTCATCGTCGGCAGGCCGAAAGCCCCCGTGGCTTTGTGGAGTCTGATTACCCATCGGGCAATGCCACCGTCGCGGTTGCTCTTGCGGCAGAACTCCAGGAGGCTCATATCTTCGCGCCGCCAATCCGAGTCCTGGTAGAGCTTTACGACTGCCGGGAGCGTGGACGCGCCTGGCCAAGGCCCAATGAGCGGCACCATCGTGCCACCATAGCGGCAGGGGGGCATCTGCTGAGCAAACAGATAGAGCCACATTTCGGGCTCGGCCGGCT